CAAGAATAATACAAGAGATTGCCTGTATGAATCTGATTTTCCTTTATCAATTCAAGCACCCAAATTAAAAATATATTTATGTTTTAGAAATAAAACTTTAATTTTCTCTTATGGAAAGGTCTTGGATCCAGTAACACTTACTGTGAATGGAACTATCCAGGGTTGAATATCCCTTATCCAGAATTCCAAAATACTCTTAAAATTTGAAATTGTCCATGTGTATGGCTAAGATACTGACACCTTTGTTTACTAAAAGTTCCATATAAATTTTGTTTCATGTTCAAACCTATTAAAATATTGAGAATAAAATTACCTCCAGGCTATGTGTATGTGTATGTGTATTACTTCTTGGGAGGAGAGCAATGTGTATGTGTATGTGTATGTGTATTACTTCTTGGGAGGAGAGCAATGTCCAATCTCGATAAAATAGTAAAGAGTAGAGACATCAGAATGGCAACAAAGATCCGCCTAGTCAAAGCCATGGTATTCCCTGTAGTACCCTACGGATGTGAGAGCTGGACCTTAGGGAAGGCTGAGCGAAGGAAGATCGATGCTTTTGAGCTGTGGTGTTGGAGGAAAGTTCTGAGAGTGCCTTGGACTGCGAGAAGATCCAACCAGTCCATCCTCCAGGAAATAAAGCGCGACTGCTCACTGGAGGGAAAGATACTAGAGACAAAGTTGAAGTACTTTGGCCACATCATACCCATCCAAAGTTGTGCTCCATTTTTGCTAGGATAACTAGCTACCTAAGAGGGGACCAAGGGCAAGATGGATGGATGGCATCCTTGAAGTGACTGGACTGACCTTGAAGGAGCTGGGGGTGGGACGGCCGACAGGGAGCTCTGGCGTGGGCTGGTCCATGAGGTCACGAAGAGTCGGAGATGACTGAACGAATGAACAACAATGTGTATAAGGTATAAATGAAATATACTAGAAATGAATTTCATGTTTAGACTTGGGTCTCATCTCCATAATAACACATTATGTATATGAAAATATTCCAAAGGTTTAAAAAAGAACGTTTGGTCCCAAGCATTTTGGATATAATTCCTTTCCTTTCTCCCATGTGGTTTCAAGGAGGCCTCCCAAATATCCAGAGCAAAATTTTAAGGAGTGCAAATGAGAAAAACAAAGAGCATCCACCCTGAGATGCAATATTGTAGACAAACTACTTACATAATATTTGTGTTTTAATTTTCACATTTTATTTGCCCTTCTTGAGGAAAACACTTCTCAACATTAAATGTGCACTGCTTTCTCCCCAAAGTCCATTTATACAAGAAAGGTGTCATTAGATTCCCTGAAAGTATAAGTGTGTTATAATTTAGTCACTTCCACTTGCCTTTCCTCATCCAAGACCACAGTCAGAGAAGCACTCCTATTCTTTGAAATTAATGAAGTTCAAAGATCTGATGAAAGATCAGTAAAACTTCTCATCATGTTGTTTTACATGGCAGAAAATGAGTATCATCATAATGTGTTTCTTTTATCACCTTATTCCCTAATACAGATCAGTACAAAGAGATTAATTCTTTGCAGTTTTCTTCCATTTTGATTTTCTGTCCATCCCCCCCCCCCCCCCCGCCGCCTTTTCCTGGTAAGCATGGAACCCATGTTTCACATATCTGCTCCCAGAGAAAAATAGTCTATAAATTTTCTAGGTCCTCCATGTCATTCTGCGGCATGCTCCCCTTAAGGTCAATCTAGATATCCTCCCTCTCTAGGAATTTCCAGGTACTCCAATTCCTTTGAAGCTGAGATAGTGTGACTTCCCCAAGGTCACACAGTATGTTTCCATGATTGAGTGGGGATTTGGAATCCTGGCCTCTCAGTCCTAATTCAACATTCAGATTACCAAACCTCACTGTTTCTCATGATGTAACATATTTAATATGCTTTTCCAGTTGCATGATCTAGGAATGTTGGAAGTTTTACAGTCCAGTCAATTGCAGTGGCAGAGGTATCATCAATTACATTAATATCTCTTTGATTCTAGGATCTACAATATGTGCAAAAGCAAAAACTGGATGCAACTAACCGTCTTCTTCTTGGCCCAAATCTAACATAATTTGAAAGGAAGGAAAGAGTGAGCCAACAGTTTGCTGTTGTTTCTTCTTTTGTACAACCTGTTGTAGTGGATCCCAGGCATGTTACTCATAGCTCACTTGTACAACCACTTGTGGAACTGGGAACTGATAGCAGCTTCCAGTTCCCCAGTAATTTTTCATAACAGCACAGAACTAAGCATCCATCGGCGTTAGAAAAATCACACTGTTGCACGCTGTCCATACTTAAAAAAATCCACCACTCATTCTGAAAAAGGATTCTTTACAAGCAATAATTTAAATTTTCCACAATATCCATTTTTATTTTTATACCCTGGGGGGATACTTTAGAATTTTCTGTATATTCTCTCAACTTCCCATCATACATCATGAAATCATAACAATTGGAAGAGTCCCCGTTCTACATTGGGTCCAAGTTCACATTATCATCAAAATAATGATCGTAACACCATCCATTATAATTTTTATTATTATTTGCTGAGGCCTCAAAAACAGTTATTTATTATTTCTGGTATTTATATCCCGTCTCTTCTCTACCCCGAAAGGGAGACTCAGGACAGCTTACATAGGCAGCAATTCGATGCCGTTACATGAACAATTAATACAATAACCATTAAACAAACCATCAAACCATTAAAATACATAAAATGCATAAGCCATTAATTAAACAATATAAAAACATTTGTTACCAAATAAAATCATATCCTCATGTAAATCACCTTTCTAATCCATTTCCTCTAAAGTGCTAATTTATGTCTGCTGACCCAAAGCCTGGTCCCATAGCCACAATTCTACTTTCTTCTGAAAGCCAGGAGGGATGGGATTGATTGTATCGCACTTGGAAGCGCGTTCTACAGGCGAGGGGCCACCATCAATAAGGCCCTGTCTCTCGTCCCACCAGCCGCATTTGTGATGTTGGTGGGAGCGAGAGCAGGGCCTCCCCGGATGATCTTAAGTTACGAGGTAGAATGTAGAGGCAGTTGCTTCCATTCAAGCATTTCATGATCAGGATGGGATCTGAACAACAGACACTCAAATGTATATGTAACAGTCCCAAAGATTGTGATGAGATTTCTCTATATACAGTGTTGCAATGACAATGCAGCTGCAGTTTAATAACAGGGAGAGGGAAGATTAAGGGAATCAATGGTCAGATAAGGTCCTCATTGGGATAGTCCCACATGAACCAATTCTATTTGGTGACCGAAGCCTGTTTTGGGGTCTTCCAACATTTCTGTATTCCCAATGTGTTATTCATTAGGGGTCATGAACAGCAATATTACTGTGGCTTGCCTCTTCCTCTTCTTCTCCAGAAATAGCATTTCCTCCACACACAAAAAACCCTTCAAAATCAGATGTTTTGAGTCATCTCATGTCAGTTTTGGGGAAGGATATAAAGAGGGCCCTTAGTATCTTCTGTGGTTTTGTTTCAGGGCCAAATCCATAGATGCTCAAATCTCATTATAAACAATGCCATAGTATCATCATAATAATCATCATCTTTATTTATATCCCACCATCATCTTCCCGAAGGGACTCGGGTAGCTTGCAAAAGAACTCAAAGTGCAACACATATAAAATACACACAGAACATAAGCATATAAAACAATAACAATATAAATTTTCAAACAATTATAGATAAACATCATATAAACCCTTTATTAAAAATTCAATAAAACACAGCAGTGGTGGCCCATTATATAAAACGGAATTTTTGATATATATATTTAGCCATGGATGATTGAATACAATGGATGCAGAACCTGTGAATATGGAGGGCCAACTTTAGGGCTATTGGACTGCTTATAAGGTATGAGGACTATTTTGCGTAAAAGTTGAGAGTTGGGTTTTTAGGTTCCAATCAGGGTTTTTGTGCAACTCCCCATATTTCTTGAAATTGCTTATCCCTGTAAAGAACATCCAGTTGTGCTACTGGATGTTCATTTTTAGAGTCAGGGCAAAGCTGGAATCCTAGACAAAGTAGAAGTGGTTTATTATAAGTGGTGCAAAACTGTGGAAGTGGCTGAATGAAAGATGGTGTTTGCAGGAATGTTTGCACTTCCACTACTATTGATTTCTGGAATCCAGAGCAAAAGTTGAGTTTATGTATATATGTATTAATTTATTTGAAATATTTATACCCTGAAGGGGACTCAGGGAGCAGCACAACATATATACAGCAAACATTCAATTGTATTGAGGTGTAATGACAGACATAAAACTATAAATATACACAAGCATTAAAATCAGTTACATCTACTTTAAAATCAGCTGTTTAAAACCATCACAAGGCGCCATGCTGGCTCCTGTCAGCAGAATAGGTTTCCTATTATTGCCCCATTGCACTGCCCCAAAGGCTTGGTCCCACAGCCAGGTCTTTAACATCTTTCTGAAGGACAGGAGGGAGGGGGCTGATCTAGTCTCACCAGGAAGGGAGTTCCATAGCCAGAGGGCAATCACGTATGTACGTATGTTGTAGCATGGTGGTATACGGCAGAAACATTGAATATCCTCACAATTCATTCTTAGCATGCATACACAGCAGCAACTGCCATTCATGGCCATAGGAAATGCAGATGCCATTAAACAGACACAAAGACGCCTTTCTAAAAGCGGTTTTGAAGCATGAAGCCAAAGAACCAACTGAATTACTATATGTGGATTCATATGAAATTGCTGTACAAGGGAGCAGGAGTACATCATAGCACCACTGCCATGGAAGGCATTTGTATTACCCTTACTTCTCTGAATAAATTCCGATGACAGCTCCATTTCATTTCTTCATTCCGTTTGGAGGCCAGATGGCATTAGAATCATTTACTTCACCTTGTTGTGTTTAATTACTACAATCAACACACTATTTTCCAAATTAATCATAACAAAGTAATTTCATTAGTAACACAGCAGGCTGTTGAATTATTAGCATCATAACAGTTTGCAAACAATTAAACTTTATTTGAACCTTAAAAATTTGCAGCGTGGAACATTAGTGTGAGATCTAATGGCAGTATACTACAAATCCAGTACAGAGCAAATAATCGAGCAAAATGCTGCATAAAATATGGCTTAGAAAAAAGAGCGCTCTTTGTATTCTGGGGAACGCAAAGGAAATATAAGTAAACAACGAGAACAGGGCAATTAGCATATATTGCAATATTCTGGTCTGCTGGAGTCACATTAATGGGATATTCTCTTTTTCTCCCAAAAGGTTATGGTATTTATATAGATTTTTGAACAAACATTTCATCCCCTTCGCTTTGCCAGCATATTCCAACGCTAGCTCTGATTAAAAGGTTGGGATACCATATCTTTGAAACATCCTCATATTTAATATATATGTGTGTGTGTGTGTGTGTGTGTGTGTGTGTGTGTGTGTGTGTGTAGGCTAAACATATCAATTTCTACTATGTGAGAAAAAGGTTATGAAAGCCATAAAACTGCAGCTGTCTCCATCATCCTATCAGGAGGAAAAATGGTCTGAGGGTCCATCATTCATAAGTTAGCTAAGGACTCCCTCTCCTGGATTTACATGAAAAGGGGAAGAGAGTCCCTCCAAATATTTTAGGTTTCTAAAAGATTCATCTGAACATGGCAACTGCCAATGGGGGATGGGTTTCCCAGCAGTTCAATATGCTGTGAAAGTCTACTACCATCTACTGGCCAACACGGATAAAACCAAAAAAAAAAAATCTCCTTCACCCCCATCCAGATTTGCTATATTTAACACAGTGATGTAATCCTTGGTTGGATAAAAAGCATTGTTTCTCTGGGACTTAGATCAGACGCAGAAAAGTGCAGATTGATTTAATCTTTAGGAAAAAACACCTCTCAAATGACCTCACTTTAAATAAGTCTACCAATATTTTTGTTTCTTTTTTATTATTTCGAGTCGTTACTGAAATGGAATGTACCATCATGATGTATATGCAAAAAGAGAAAGCTAATGGTTTCATAAAATTGTTCCAGGACTTTGACACTTTGATCATCATTGAGGAAGGTGCACTGAACGCTTCTTTGCTCGAAGACTGGAAATCCTTACACTCGTATGATAAATTCAGAGGAATAATAGACTCATATGCATGTCTATTGCTTACTTGGAACTAGGTCCACTGAGACTATGTACAACTTACGTTAGTTGTATTGAGGTCCATTAAAATCAATGTGAAATATGATTGCCAGATTGAGTATTGGAGACCTCTTATATACTTAATGATTGTTTTAAAAAGAGGAAATTTCGAGCAGCAGCTACTCAAATTCACTCTCCTACATAACTATTCAAGGTACAGAAGTTCTCTCCAGTTTTCAAGCTGTCAAATTGATACGAACTGTAGTAACAACTTATTAATATAAGTCTCCCTAACACAGAGAAAAACTTTATGCTTTATGCTACAACTCATATGTTAATTTTCTATGGGCAGGGAGCAATTCCATAGAATGTATACACACCGTCCATATATACATATATGGAATTATGTACAAGGAATCAATACTCATAAGTCCAAAGCAGCAGCATGGGAACCAGTGACAGACTAGAGGAGCTAAGCATAAATCAGTCCCTAGGTTGCTGAATGTTTGTGTTAATTTCGGCGACAAGCTAAGACCTTTGTTTTCCAGCAAGCTTTGGGAAACTGATTTTAATAAAACTGATGTATATATAGCTGTACTGTTTTAAAAAGCTGATTTAAAATAAGATTTAAACTTGTTTTAATTCTGTTGTTATTTAATCTTGATTTTGAAATGATTTTTAACTGTACAGCAATGTCCTATATCTGTAGGGAATACAAAGTGCAGTTACATGAAACTGTAGGTTAAACTACATCACTTCTGGTCTCAGCATACCATTAAGTTGCACTGAAGGGCCAGAGCTTCCGAGAGAGATATCCTCTCTAGGAATTTGCTAGATCTTCTAATACAATATTATAGTAACTTCTGGGAGAGGTATACAACAGAATTGCCTGGTTGACCTAGGAAATTTCCAGAAAGACCAGTTTCCAAAAGCTTGGTGCAGGTAAGTAAAATGGCATACTGTATGTATTTTATTGTATTCTGACTTTTTGTAATCCATCTTGAGTCCCAGACTGGATGAAAGGCATATAAATAAAATGAAAGATGAATGTTATGATGAAAGTGAGTGGCTACAGAGAGCAAAAGCAGTAAAAAGGGACTAAAAAACAAATACAGCAAGTCTTCTCTTACTTGTTCTGCATATGAATAGTTTTCAGGGCCAAGATGATTTAAGAATAGTCCTAGGTAATTTTGGAATTTTGACAATAGGTTTCTTTATGAAGTTGGCTAAGAGTTGCAGTCAAAAACAGCAACACCGAATTGCATGGAAGCAACAGAATCAGAAATGGTGAAAGAAGCGGATGGTCTGACTGTTTGTGCCTGCAAGTTACCTGTAGACTTAAAGTGAGCTAGTTTTGCCAGTTCCTTCCTCTGAAATATAGCCTACATTATCTGGGATTCCTTGGCAGTCTCCTATCCAAATACTATCCACAGCTAACACTGATCAGATCAGATAGGACCCAAGATCAGATAGGACCCAAGATCAGATAGGACCCAATCTTTTTAGAATATTTAAGTGCACCAATAAAACAGTTAAGATTTTACATGGGATTGGAAGGGACAATTCCATCCTCTTTTAGAAACACTACTTGTGATCTAAGAATATGTAGGGTTTGATATTATGGAGTGCAACATAAAACCTCTCCAATTACTTTTTAAAACAGCTATTGTATTGTCACGGTAGTTTTCTACCAGCGTCCTGGACTTTTGAACCTAATTTAACCCATTTAAACATAATGAATATACAATGAAATGACATTAAGAGAAAATTGAAGCAAGAACATTCACAGAAGAGATCCATATCTAAAGTGCCAAGGAGTTGCATAATGCCCTGAGAACATTTTCAAAGTCACTCACATAGAAAAGAATAGGAGATGGCCCACATCTACTATTGCTAAGATATGTTATTTATATTCTGTGTCTATTTATCAAAAGGATAGCAAATGGACTCAATATTTTCTCATATAGCCCCTGGTGCCAAAATGAAAGCAAACAGTTAACAATGCAACAGCAACAATCAAAGTACGACACCATACTTAAAGTATAACAAAATATATTAATGAAAAAAAGGCACTGATTAGCTTGCATCTTGGTTGGGCCTCTACTCCGGTCATCCTCAAAATTGTGGACTCTACCTGAATAGAAAGAGAGAAAGTAAACAATCCAAAGTTATGCTTAAGGAAGCACGGGCTATTTCAAAACATAAGGCCACTTCAACATACTGTTTTTCTTTAGAAGAAGATCACACTTGCTGTTCTTCTTCTAAATCACTTACCAGCTGCTTGGCCTAACTCATGTATCTGCTAAGTACAAGGAGGGCACTAATGAAGCTCAAGGAGTGCCATCTCTCATGTCCTTTCTTCCCATGACACACCATCAGGTCCTATTCCAGCAATTGATAATCACATCATTACATGGCTTCAACCAATTGGTTTTAGCTGTATCGCAATAGGATTAAATTGAAATTACAATATTCTGACATATATCCCAATCCTTCTCCCACATCTGATAATATAAGCAAAGTGTAAGTGTGATTTATGATTTAAAGCAACCTTAACCTTTTTATAGACAAATCCGCATATGTAACATGTGCCATTGCTTTGTTTTTCTAGGTAACTTCTCACATTTCTACCCCTTAGGACTCATTTAAATTTTTATTACAATAAGAAACGTGGATGCATGGGAGTGTAGCTACCTGCACCAATGCCTGGTGGTAACAAATAGTATATAAATGCTACAATAAAATCTGCAGAGCACGTTGAGAAATCAGGTGACAAATACACAAACTATCTTGAGTACATCTCATTTAAGAGAGGTAGAAAACGAAAGATAAATAAGCCATATATATATATATATTCTGTAGGATTGCTAAGCTCTAATTAAATCTTTCCCATAGAAAAACTTTGAACACAAGTTCTTATCTTTTGATACTAATCATCCTTGATATCTGCATAAAATATTTTTGTGATATATAGATATTTTATTTAAGCTGCAGGGCAGCTTCAGAAGCACAATGAGCACTATCCTGTCCCAATGTACCATTTTGGCTTGAACTCAGGATAAAGAAGATTTGAGCTCTTGGAGCAGAACTGTGACTTGAACTATCTGTGATTGACTAGTGTTTCTGGAATCGCAAATCCATCTTCTCCTTCCCTGTCTGGGGAACAGTGATAACAATGATTGCGATGAGAAGCAGATGAGAGAAACAGAACGGAAGTCTTTAAAAATGCACAATGTTGGTCTGTTCATATATTTTTTCAAGGAAGATATCCTCTACGCAGGCAAGGGCAAGGCTGACTGCTGAACCGGTATCCAGTTTGCTGGTCTATATGTCTATTATTTACACCCTGAAAGCAAAAGTCAGCTGGGTTCGTCCCGCAAGAGAAAAATGCATTGCAACCCATGCTTCAGGGCTACATCTGTATATTTCCTTAGAAGACTGAATTTGAAAAATTGAGGGTTATCAAAAGGATAAAATGCCCCACCTCTCTCTCTCTACACACACACACACCATTTATTTTATTTCACATAAAGCTACCGATTGGACCACTTTCCTTCTCTCCTCTTTTTGCCTCAATCGTTGTTAACGGAACTACAGGAAAGGTTCCAGGAAAAAGAAATCTGTATGAAACAGAGAGCAAGCGAACATATAAGCCATTACAGAAGATTGAATTAAAATGTACTTACCCGGGCCTCTCAGATATCATACATCTCCATTATGTAGGCTTTAGGCACCAAGCCAATGGTTCCTTTCATTTCTCCTACCCACCAGCCAAATCTATTGTACTCCTAATTGAAAACAATATGCAATATTAACCTTTAGTCCGATATAAATGCAATAGAGTTTTGCATATGACTCCTGAAGTTTCCTCCTTATGTACAGTTACAAGAGCATGAATAGAAAATTAAAACATTAAGGGATTGTGTGTGGATGTATTTCTGAAGCACTTGAAATGCACTAAAAACACTAGGAAATTATGCTTCAAAAGAATATTATAATGTCTGGCAGATCAGAGTAATAACTATCTAGGGCATCTCTACAAGAAGCTAAAGTTCATCCAACAAGAGAGGCTTGGGTGTGATCCTATTACTTGTTTTGTAATACACACTGATGACCACATTCATAAAAATCCTGTATTATTAAGTATCCTTAGATGGATTTTCCTTTGATTTTTTTTTTGTGGAGATGTAATCATACACAATTAATGCAATATTCCTTTTGTTGCCACTTGATCGTTTTTATTATCACTGTTATGTTTATTTGGAGAGCGGTTCATTATGTTCTTTGGAGGACTTAGATATTTATTATCAGAGTTCATCTTTTACTTGGAATATTCTGTTTTCTACCCAACCAGCATACTTTGGCTCTTTTTTTTCTGCCCAAACCATATCAACAGTTGACATCTGAAAATTAATACTTGATAGTAAAGTATAAATATCCCTTGGGATTCCATTAGTAATAGAGCCTTAAGATGTAAAGAACCTTAGCTAGTTAATGCCACATTAAGTCTACACAGCCTGTTTTGCTTCTCCAACAGCCCATCATGGTGTTATGCTGGAAATTTTATCACAGCTTTCATATGCCCGACAGGTGACAATTGCATTTTAGTTCAAAATTTATTTAGGCTTAGCAAGATACATCTGAAACAAAACGGGAATGTGATAATTTAAGGAAATAGTGTTTTCCAAAGGCAATAGCATTTAAGAGCCTTGTGGAATCCAAATTTAGTGTTTGTGCCTCTGGTGTACATATTAAGATCAATCCTAACAGCGTCTCAATAACGTCTAAATTTTGAAATGTCAACAAGGTGGATTGGATGAAAGAGGAAGCTGTGGGGAAAACATAGACCTAAAAATCCTAACTGATAGTGACCACGTAACAGCCAGGAAAATAGAACACAGAAAGACAGAGATATAGGGGAAGGGAAGCCTTTTGATATAACATATTGAAGTATTAAGTCTCTGCTCAGCCTCAGAGAAAGGCAAAGGCAAACTCTCTCTGGCAAAACGTTTCCAAGAAAACATCATGACAGCACTGCCATAACTCGAAATTCTTTGAAGATTATATCAACAAAATTATCTAAAACTAAGTGCTAATGGGAGACTGATAGGATGTAAACGTATCTATTTATATAGTTGAAACAGGAAAGGGAAACAGCAAAATATCCATATTCTCTCTTTCTCTTCAAGGGTTTTCTTGAAATCTATTAAACTCAAAAGCCAGGATATATTTCTCTTCCCCCAACATCTTCACAGTGCCACTCATTTACTTCTACCCATTAATCCTGGTGCACTCTTCAATCATGCTACCTCTGCCTTTACTTCTTAAACCATGCAACACACAGCTTGATTTTCCAAGGTTTTCTCCATAATTCGTAATGAAATTATTTTGTGGGGAGGCAGAATAGTTCTAGTCCAGGTACACGGATGAGCTCCCTCTATCAGCTCCAGCTCCCCATGCAGGGATGTGAGAGAAGCCTCCCACAAGGATGGTAAAACATCAAAAACATCTGGGCATCCCTTGGGCAGCATCCTTGCAGACGGCCAATTCTCTCACACCAGAAGCAACTTGAAGTTTCTCAAGTCGCTCCTGACATGAAAAAAAATCTAAACACAAAAGAAAATGGTTGAGTTTTCTTAATGGGTACTATCCTGCGGGAATGAAGTTATATTTTTGAGTCATATTAGCTGGGAGGGTTTGGGAGCTGTAATTAAAAAGGTTACTTTACCAAGCTCTATCTTGGTTAAATAAACCAGGTATATTTTCTCCTATGGTACTTCACTGCACTGCACTTTCAAGTCATTTTTAACCTAAGGTGATCCCAAGGTGAACCTTTCTTGGAAGGTCTGTTCGGTGGTGTTATGTCACTGCATTCCTTTAAAGTTGAAAGAATGTGCCTTGCCTAAGGTCACCCACTGGGTTTCTATATTCAAATGATGGTTCAAACTCTGGTCTTTTAGAGTCTCCATCCAACCCCCAAACCTCTATACTGCACAGAATTGGAGATTTAAATGGGCAGCAAATAATCTATATAAATAAAAATGTAATCTTCATTTGTGGGATTAACATAACTCAAAAACCACTGGACGAATTGACACCAAATTTGGACACAATACAGCTACCAGGCCAACGAGTGACCATCACTCACAAAACACTGAAAAACACAGCAGAAGAGACTCAAAAAGCAAAAAAAAAAAACCAAAAATACATTTCAACGCATGCGCAAAACCACATATATACACAAACACACATATACACATATACATAAATATATACACATATATATACACACACAAAACACATATACACAGACTGGACCACAGTAACGCGTGGCAAGAGATGGCTAGTATATAATAAAACTTTATTTATATACCGCTCTATCTCCCCCAGGGGACTCAGGGCGGTTTCCATGTAACAAAACACCAAAACATACAAAGTAAGCAAAGCATAAGCATAAATTTGTCAAAACAACACATATACATTAAAAACCAATCTTACCCTATTCTTTCCTGCAAAATTACTGTTCGGGCCAGGCTTTCAGAATGGGCCTAGGTGAATTAAGAGGGCCAGACCGAGGCTAGTGCAGGCAAGATAGGGGGGGCAGGGGAATGGGTAAAGTGAAATAACTGGTATCAACTATAGTAATAGTGAGGCCTGTGGTTGCTCAATTCCAAGGCCTATTGGGGAACTGTCTGGGCTAATGGGTGGGGAGTGTAAGGCCAGATTCTAACAGTGGCCAGGGGCCCACCACCAAGAAGGACCTCTCTCTTGTCCCCACCAACCATGCTTGTGACGGTGGTGGGAGAGAGAGAAGGGCCTCCCTGGTAGATCTTTGAGTTCACACTGGTTCATAGGAGGAGACGTGATTGCAAAGATAGGCAGAGCCCAAACCGTTTAGGGCTTTATAGCAAAGCCCATGAATTATGGTAAATATGTTAATGCTTAACCAATTGGCTATAGCAAAAACTGGGCTCCAAAATCAAATGCCTTTAGGGAAATAAGAAAGAGCTTCAAGGAAAGAGGACAATATCCTGTGCCTATGACTGCAATGAAATGATGCCAGTATATCAGAGCAATAAGCCACCAAGCTCTTCTGCCAGCCCAGGATGAGAATCACACCCGCTGCAGCACTGGGTCGATTGTTCTGGGGCCAAAACCCTTAAAGGCAGGAGGCGTTTGCTGTCTCGCCGGGGGTTCAGACGTTCCAGCTGTGTGTGTGTTTGATTAACAAACACATGTTTTATCCCACATTAGCCTGCTTAAACACACACTTGACGTCTCGGCAGACTCAAAGAACAAGTCATCACTCATGATGCCAAACCTCACCTGCACTGGAGGAATCTTGCCAAGAAAGTGTTTCCAAAAAAGCAAAGAGTGGTGGGAGAGAGAAACCACCACTTTCTGAGTATGAGCTGGGGGAAGTGCTCATCGCTGAGATGGAAAACAAACAAACAAATGTGTGGTTTTGTAGAGGGCTGCCATAGTTAAGTGAGCATTAAATGATATATATATATATATATATACATGAGACATGGCACAAAATAAGATCACTGGAGGTAAATTGCAGAATGAAAATTCCCCACGTATCCAGGCATTTTATCGGTTTGGAGGGAGGAATCCCTTCTACTTCAGAAGCCTCCAATTCAATTGAAAGCCACGCTGCCTCCCCCTCACCACAACTCTCATTTCTTGCTATTCAGGAATATACAATTTAATGCATTTGTGTGAAGCTGAATGTTAAGCTGAAGTGGGTGGTGATGTAACAGTCTAGAAAGCTAATTTATGGAGTGGCTGCAGACATTAGGAGGTGGGGCCATGGGGGAGAAGACTGCAACCCAGATGCCTTTAGTTTATCATCACTATGCTTGGTATGAGCCTTGCAAGCATGATGAATCCCAATTAGAGCGACTGTAATATAAGCAAGCAGGAAGGGGAAAACAGACCTGCTTGACTGGGAACATAATGGTTTAACCTCAGGTTAGAATAATCTCTGCAAAAGATCCTCTTTTATCTGTTTAATGTGTTTACCATTCTTTCTTAAAATGCTTCTAAAGTCTTTATGCAGATAAAAGCCAAAATGATCCTATTTTAAAGCACTGTATTGATACATTACTTACAGTGGAAATAAAAGGCAAGTGATCCAAGGCAATAGCCTGACAGACTAAATGCAGAGCTTAGAAGAAAGTTACTATTTTTGGACTACAACTCCCAGAATCTCCAGCCAGTGTAGCTCTCTTGACTGGGGGATTCTGGGAGGTTTGGTTCAAAAAAGGAACTCTTTTAAGCTGTTGTTTAACTCTAGTGGTTTTGCTGTTTATTTATTTATGACATTTGTATCCCGCCCTTCTCTAACCCAAAGGGGACTCGCACATTGGCAACAATTTAGTGCCATAAAAACATACAATTAAATAAACATTTACATTGAAAACACACAATTTCACTACCACACACACACACAGAAGAAACTTAATACCATTGAGAAAATGCAAACATCAGGACAATTTCTTTTATATTTATATTTATATATAAGTGTGTGCTCGCATGTGCACAGACATATACATATTTACTTTACTTGCTGCTACTATGCTTAATTGGTTATTAATTTCTTTGTCTAATTAAAGCATCAAATCAATTAGAGAAGGGTGATAAGGTTTGCAATACAAACATTGCCTTCAACTATCCCAATTTGGCAGGGATAGTCCCCTGCCATCTCACTTTTTCAGGTGATTTCAGAATGTCCCAGTTTCTCTCTCTTTGTCTCAGTTTCTCTCTTTGTCTCCAGCTTATT